TTCAATTTTTCAAAACAAAGTCATTTAAAGTGATCATACTTAATTTTAAATACTGGTTAAATACTTAATTTATTTAAATACTTAATACTGGTTAAAAGAAAAGAAATTATACACAGAACTTTGCCGTGCTAGATATTAGAACAGCACATCTCCTCAGAGCTTATGTTTGGGTTTAGTTATGATGACAGGTAGAAGTTTAAACACGCACAATGATAACGAAAAAATGCCAGAGTTTCATGTAGAACAAACATTTTAATTTTTGTCTCAATAATTCTGTCATCAAGTAAACTTCCCAAAGATTCAGAGATAGTTGCATTTACATAAAATTCAAAATATTATTTACAGTTTAACAAAACTAACCGAAAAGTATGTATAGTAGAAAATTCGAATAGGTTATATTGTTTTGTTTATCATCTTAAACGCTTCCATTACTGAATCACAAAGTGATCTAAAATTAACATTCATCTCAATATATGACAGGATTGATAATTACAAAACAAACCTGGCTTATCGTTGGAAGATATGAATGAAACAATAACCGCCATAATGCAATCAGAACATTACGCTTCCTCTGAGATACTCTAATATAAAAGTAAAATATAAGGTCAGATTAAATCAGTAATCAAAATTGTTTCATATTATCAAATTAAGAAATTAAAGTGTCGCATTGTGGCTCACACTAAAAAGTATATTATTAATGTAATAATAATACTACTATTATTTCGATACTAATGTAATATAGCAACCACCTAGTAGTTAATAAGATATTTAACTAGTGTTTACAGTGCTGGAGTGTGCAATTTCAAATCAAATGATTGTGTTAATTCAAATATAGTTAAGCCTTTAAACATCGTCCAACTCATTTGAGTTGTAGGTTTTGATGTTCTATAGGTTATGAGTCTATAGAATATATATGTTGTTTTTAGAACATATTGAATTTTAGGAACAATTCGTAAAACGTGGAGTTATATCATAAAATGAAGCGTGGGCGTGTTTGGTAGCTTTTAAATTTTGAGCTCTTTTATAAATATATATGTCTATATTCGAGCTTTAACCGTTCGGCTTGACTGTCTACCTCGTTTTTCATGGCGCGATCTACACAGATATGTCATATAGTTTCTCAGTTATTCGATCAATGCTTATAGATTGCTACATTATATTGCCAAAAGATAAGTATGCAGCACATTAAATTCAATGTGAAATTGAAAATATCGCTAATAGCGAGGGTGCCCCACTGATGAAACTATGCATACTAATATTTATAAATAAGGACCTAAGAACAGTATATTTAATTAGCTGTGCTCACTTCTAGTTGACTTTTTTTAGTTCTGATCTAAGTAGACAGCTTGCTCTGATCGAATATACTATGTAGCCCTTATATATTTATTGGGTGAAAAGTATATAACAAGCAACAGAAACACTCGTATAACAAAAGATGTTTAAAATTAGGACACAGGTTCGAAAACAATTTCATAACAGAACATTAAAGCAAGGACACATATAATTCAGCAAGTCCCCAAGTTGTCCTCGGTTTGCTTGTATTCACTTAGAAATGTCATTAGTATGTAATTCTAATAAGTAGAATTGGACTTTACATCCTGTCTGTTACCTTACGTACACGTAGGTTAAATGTCAGAAACTTAGAAACTTCTAGGGTTCAGGTATAGTGGTCCCTAATTTTGAGCTTCTGGCCTGAAAGTAGCTAAACAACAGCACCCGCCGCCATAAGGGCTTTGTCTAACTTTCTGTATCCTGAATAACAGGACTGACTATCAATATTGTAACGCCCGAAAGCATAAAGTGCTGATTATATTCAACAGCAGCACGTCTCAAACTCTGGTTTTACGGTCCGCAGCCCGATACGCCAACATCTTGGCCACGTCTGAACTATTTCTGATGTATAGATATGTTGACGATCAATACAGTACTTTACCACCCAAAACTCGTTCGTGTTTTTGGAGACAAAATCAACCGTTTTCAAATTTTATGACTAATGTGCATCAAACTGCTAGAATTTAACAAAATAAAACCAACCAAGCATAACATAACATAAAAATCGATTAAACCGTACACACGTACTCATGTATATACATATGTTTTGACGCTGTGGTGAGTTGGCTTAATTTACAATAATAAAACTGTATATCTAAATTTGGAGATAAGTCATGAACTCAAGAATTTTAAAGGGCACAAAAATGACTTATGATCCATCTATATTCCCATTTATGTCCCTTGATAAGTTTATGGAATCACAACGTTGTAATCCAGAGTTCTATTCTCTCTGGTGGACAGTAGCTTTGAACTAACAACAACTTTCTGTTTATTTTATCAGAACAAAAATCAACGAAGTCCAAATACTAGACGCTTTCGTCAGTAAACTATTTGAGTGTTGTTCTTTGTAACATTTTATAGTGGTTACAATACTACCCATCGAATGATAACGTAATCCAATTATTTGACTATATTCACTTACATTAATTTTTTTTCAACTTTAGTATAATAATTAACATTGTATCGAGTACGATACTTAGGGACACATAAATATATTCATGTGTAAATTCCCTATAAAATTAGATTATAAATCAGATAAGGTCTTTGACATTTCTACAAAGCAGTACAGGAGAACTAAGATTGTTTCCAGAATTACACAATTAGACTCGGGATACAACTATCTTTGAACTTTTAGTTTACACCCATAAGTCAACGACTCCAGTAAATTCTCGTTGTAATGAATGAATTACCCCCACACATTTGTACTGGCTCTTGGGAAAAGCTTCAGTCAGTATAAGCCCCGCCCTCTCGGTGGCTCCCCCTGGTTAAGTAATTTTGTTTGATAAATAGGAAATAAAACATATTTTTGGATCCCCAAGGTAGTAACAAACGTTATTCTTGTCGTCAACTTTATGCTAGCTTCACAATTTATTAAATCCATAAAATCTGTTATTGTCTTTGTGTTCAGTTCATTATTGCAATAAAAACAAAACAATATTTCATGTTGAATTCCTCCATCTTAGATATTACTCATTTGGAAGATGAAAGACTTGTCACAATAAGATTCCTGAAGTTTTATGAAACATCACGAACTGTCAAAAATAATATATATATATGCAAATGCTATGTTTTTAATAGCTTAAAAATAAATAATTAGAGTTTGACCTATGAAGATATAAGTTTTCTCTGTAACTTAATGATAAATGTTTAATTAGAGTATATGACTTCTGAAATTAATGGTGCTGATTAATAATTTTTTGTTTTTGTTTTGTAGAATATTTGCTGCAATTAAGTGTAAGTTTTTCCAGAAAGAACAATTAAAAAATTATTCTTTTCATAAAGATAAAATAATTTAGTGACGAACTAACTTCGTTGGAACTATAAAAAAATGGCGCTGGATAATGATCTTTCCAATAAAATATATAATTGTGAGTTTCTGCTGTCCTAGTAGGAAAGTGTGCATTAAAAACGTTTAGTTAGCACAAAATTAGTCGTTAAAATGGACTACTTTATCGAATTTGTGATCTGTATAATATCGCGGGAAATATCTCTACGTCGCGTGTGCACAGATTCAACATAGAACAGTCACGTATTACCGTCATATGTTTATACTTATAGTTCGAATATATAAGTTTGAAAATATATATAAAAGCAGTTTTTATTCAATCCAGTATCAGTCATCTGTTGTTCAGAGCTAAAATGTAGAGACACACAATGTGTTTAGCAAGTTCTTAAATTTGTATCACATTAACATTGTTATATTTTCATGGACAGTTCGTGTATTATTTTATTTTCTTATTTATTATTTTGTATTTTCATAAACATTAGTTTTCTATTGAACTATAGGAAAATTACTGCTACTCGACACAATTTAAACAGTAACATGTGTGGTCTTAAATTTGTCAGATGTCCCTCACCTCTAACGTTAGACAGAAGGAGTGGCTTATTGAGCTTTCAAAAAAAAAAAACGTGTTGGGAAAATTGGAAAAAAAAATTAGGCATGTCACACTAGGTTACGTTTTTCAAACAAAATGTCTTCTACAGCAGTGATTCAAGCCAACAACTAGCGTTTCTTAGTTCTCTAAATAAAATATACTCATTATTTATTTATTGTTACTTTCATTAACATTATTAGTTATACTATTTAACATATCGAATGTCATTATTTTCTATTATTATTCTTTATCATAGAGATCGTTTACGTTGTTAGATTAATATTTGTATTTAGGACTAACCTAAATCTCCCAAGCTGGCCGATCCTTGCGAGATATCATTGGGATTACGACCGAAAATGCTATTAGCAGTGAGAGTGCCGAACTGATGGAACAATGTATTCTAATCTTTATCAGTAGAAACGAAGAAAAGTTGATTTCTAGATTTCACTCTCAGTACATAGCTTGCTCTGATAGGAAGTTAATATTAATTAAACTTAATAAAATTTTGAATTTTTAGTATTCGAAATCCCCATAGCCTATTTAGATGAAGCAGCTGTTCGGTTTTGAAAAACTTTGTAGAATTATAAAATAAGCCTGGATTCCAAATCAGTTTTAAGTGAGCTAATTTTAGTTTCCAGGATAGCTACGTCACAACAATTGTCCTGCCTAAGTTTGTTCTCTCAAATCACCTAATTTAACTGGATCACATGATTTTAGCCATGTGAATTAGTCACGCTGAATTTCTAATCGGTACGTGACTTAAAAAGCTAAGTCACACGATTTAGCCCATTGGGATTTACTAAATCACACGGTACCTTATCTATGTGAGTTTAAGATACCACTTTTAGTAAAAACACAAACTTTATCATTTGAATTATGGAGATTAACACATATTTAAACCGAAATATTTAACTTAAACTTGAAACACGAGTCTTAATGGAAGACACTGCATAATTGAACCAATTAAGATAAACTAAATCAGACAAGTCTTTGTACGATCTTATATGGTATCACGTGATCAATGCTTTCCTGGTCACATAGCACAGTATTCCAAGTTCACGTGATCGAACTCACCTGAGTTTCCGTCACATTAAGCAGTTTTGCCATCTCAGCTCGTTCACTAGAAGACAGGTATTTCTTGACTTCAAACTGTTTTTCCAACTCGAATATCTGTCGGCCCGTGAACGTGGTCCTTGCTTTCTTTCGTTTCCCCTTGTCTCCCGTGGATTCGTTCCCGGAACCACTGTTTTCGGCGCCACACCCGTCGGGTGAATCGTGACTCTTGTCAGGCTTCTTCCGTTTCACTGGCTTACTGCCTCCCGTTTTACCTAATGCTAAAATCAACACACTGATTAGTACTTCTGTTGAATTAATGTGCGTGCACATATTTATGTGTGTTACTTCACATTAGTCACAGTAAGTCAGTTTTAGAAATGAACTCTCTCTCTCTCTCTGTAGTCACATCATTTAAATCGTTGTATTATAATAATGTTCTACAATGTCTGATTTAATCAGTTTCAGCATCTAATAACTTTTTTATCTGATTAAATAAATCTAATATATCATATCATATCATCACGAGTTTGATTAACTGATTAACAGGTTTCTGATCAAGCAAGAATGATGTTTTAATCAACCAATCAAAATTGGTTATTTTCAAAATATGCCATCGAGTGTGAGAATATCGTCAATATGCATTTTGCCACTTCAGCCCCAACTATGGGAGCTATTATTATGGTCGCTTTCAGTAGCCTCACTATCCCCGATATCCCCAGAGGGATGGGATATTTGTGGTTTCTAGTTCTATAACAGTTTTGTCCCCATACATTTTACTTGCAGCTATTATTATGGTCGCTTTCAGTAGCCTCACTATCCCCGATATCCCCAGAGGGATGGGATATTTGTGGTTTATAGCTCTATAACAGTTTTGTCCCCATACATTTTACTTGCAGCTATTATTATGGTCGCTTTCAGTAGCCTTACTATCCCCGATGTCCCCAGAGGGATGGGATATTTGTGGTTTCTAACTCTATAACAGTTTTGTCCCCATACATTTTACTTGCAGCTATTATTAGAGTCGCTTTCAGTAGCCTTACTATCCCCGATGTCCCCAGAGGGATGGGATATTTGTGGTTTCTAACTCTATAACAGTTTTGTCCCCATACATTTTACTTGTAGCATAAAACACTGTAAATCACTTGTACGCTTCTAAAATTCCCATGCGAACACGTGGGTGCTCTAATTCCTATTTAAACACCTTCAAGAAACACCTCTTAAATGCAACATATTTCATTAGTATCATTCACGTCCTATCAAAACTTCTCAAAGTCAGTTGTGATTTCGTATGTCAAATGGTTTCATGACCAACCATTTGTGGAACACATGCAATAAAAATATTACTTTACTGGTCAAATATTTGTAAGATATTATGTTCTAAATTACCTATCAAATCTTATTACTAGGGGGAATCAGTATTAGATCACTGTCGAGGGAGATGTGAGTTTTAGTAGATAGGCATTTAAAAGTTATCGAAACTACTATTTGGAATGTGGCTGTAGGAGAGTAATGTAGTTGACTATGTCAGTTAAATATCAATTGTTAATAACAGAGACAGTCTTAAAATTAATTATAATGTTTCTGCCTTAAGATTAAAAAATTCCAAATAGGTTCCGGGTTTCAGATCTAGTGTAAATCAGGCACTTGCAGTGATGATGTCAGTTCTTAAATACATGTAGTTATACTTAAAGCTCAAGTGCTTGTTAACTACCTATTTGCAAAATTAAAATTTGTTACACTCACTCAAATTCTGGAAATTTGTTTAAAAGGGTTTTAACTTTCTACTCTCGTCCCGCCCCCCAGTGGCACAACGGTATGTCTGTGGACTTACAACGCTAAAATCCGGGTTTAGATACCCGTGGTGGGCAGAGCACAGATAGCCTATTGGGTAGCTTTGTGCTTAATTACAAACTACAGAAAAACTCTCGTCCCCTGGTGGGACAGTGATAAGTCTACGGACTTACAACGCTAAAATCTGGGGTTCAATTCCCTGGGTGGACACAACAGATTATCCAATGTGGTTTTGTTCTAAACAAACAAACTTTCCCTCTCTCTTACAGCTGTTTTTTTAACACATTCACAACACAATACATAACACTGTCCTCTCCTTACTAACTAACGTCTCTGGTTTCCCTGCTTTGCCCCTTCCCCCTGGATAATTCAATTGCTCACAAAAATCTCAGGATATTAATGACACTTTTATTTTTCACCATATTAAACTAAAACGTTATGACATATATACTAAACAACGCACGAGTCACATAAAAGCTTTGCTGATAATAATATGTACAACAAGGATCTGTTATAGTGAATCACTATTACTTAGACCTCGTTCTTTTCAGAATCCTCATCCCACCTATTTTCAAGATAACGTTCATTTGGTAAGCTACAAGTTGGAAACTTTGTGCCAATAAATTCTTACTGTCCTGAATAACTTTTGAACAGTGTTTTTTCATACTCCTGTCGTGACTTTTATACTTTTTTCTGCATAACCGAATATCCTTAAGATAGATTCCCATCCCACCAAAGATTCTCGCCCATTCAGCCCGAGGGCGTTATAATGTAACGGACAATCCCGCTATTCGTTGGTAAAATAATAGCCCAAGAGTTGGCGGTGGGTGGTGATGACTAGCTACCTTCCCTCTAGTCTTTTGCTGCTAAATTAGGGACGGCTAGCGCAAACGGCTCTCGTGTAGCTTTGCGCGAAATTCATAACAAATCAAACCTTAAGTTAGATTACTTTTGTTTGCTTTTTGTGGTTGCTTAAATAATTGATTTAAGAGGAGGATTTTCTAATGTCCTTTATGAATAAAATGACTTCGTTGGACGTTACAATTTCGCACAGTTTCACCAAGCAAAAGAATAATTTGTTGAGTCCAATATTTCTTATATTAAATACATTCTGCCAACACTTATCTATATTAATTACTGGCTAAAGTTTGAACAATTGTATTAGCGATAGTGGGTTCACAGCCGTAACAAAGAAAAAATGTGAAAAATGTGTTTAACAATTACCGCATACCGATGCTTTCCCAAAACTAAGCTCGGATTTGTGTGTATTTATTACAGAGCTTTAGACTTATAACTATCATAAGCCCGTATTTACCCATTGTACTTTGGTAACTTTAGATTTGCATGGGTTTATCTACAGAAATTTAGGCTTAAAAGTACCACACGTCTATACTAATCCAACATGAAGTTGTATATTTACATCCATGTGTATTTATCTACCAAACTTTAGGTTTAAAACTATCATACGCCCATACCTACTCCAAATGAGGTGGTTTACCGACGATATTTTAGGCTAAAAACGACCACACGCCCATACATTATTAACTTCTAGCGATAAATGTAGATTTGTGTATACATATTTCGTTATGTAACTCTAGGTTTACAACTATCGCACGCATATATTTACCCAAAATACGGTGGATAATGTATATTCGTGTGTGTTCAGCTACAGAATACAATATTCAAAGCGATATACTGAAAAGATTTTGAATATGCAAATCATTAAGTCACGTGACAACCAGAGCCAATATATATATATATATAAATAGTTGCGATGGAACGGAATGTATCAGAACTACATTTTTACACTGTTTCGTGTTTCGGAGATAGTGTGATGCCACTGCAAACTGATCACTTTTGAGAAGGGTATGTAACAATCCTTTTCGATGCAAAGGTTTATAGATCTTGATTCTGAATTTTCGAGAAGAGGCTGGCACTTGTACTTATTGCCATTGGAAAACAAAGGAAAAATATATAATCTTGGGTTAATAGCACCATCCACAAAGAGTCTTGTAACAAGTCGTACATCAGCCGTTGTAGGCAAAGTGCAGCATCTTGTAACAATTGAGACCCAACAAACACAAAGATCAGTAACAAAAGCTGTCCACGTGCTCCAAGCAACATGCAACATAACAAAAAAAAAAAAAGAAAGAAAAGACCTCCGTCTGGAAACGAGGCCAACAAGATATGGGTTCACCAAGATAAGGCTTCCAGTCACATCTCCTATTCAACCGTTTCATACCTCAAGTAGCTGGAAAATAAAACGGGTATTCTTGCTATTACATATGAAGACATATTGGTCAACTCGTCAGACGTAGCGCCTATGGATTTCTGGGAACAGGTGTCCTCGTACACTGAATGTATTACGGAATACCTGTTGGAAGGAACTGAGTGCACTTTGAGCATGACGTCCTTATGGCAGATCATTTTGCAAGGTTAATATCAAGATATCACGGTCGTCGGATACGGCGTGACTGCACATGGCTTCATGGGACGTGGTGAGGCTCCGAAATCTGTACTGTATGCCTGTGTCTATCAGCCATATCATGTTAGCATGTATTTGTAATGATTTGTTTATCAAGTAATACAACCACTAGTCTACGCTTTATTTTAACAGGCGGTTACAAAATGATATATATATATACCACTAGTCTACGCTTTATTCTAACAGGCGGTTACAAAATGATATATATATATATATATATATATTGAAACTCAGAATATCAGTTTCGCTATTGAAGTATTTTGGCCCGGCATGGCTAGATGGTTAGGACACTCGACTCGCAGTCTGCGGGTCGCGGGTTCGCATCCCCGTCACACCAAACATGCTCGCCCTTTCAGCCGTGGGGGCGTTATAATGTGTCAGTCAATCCCACTATTCGTTGGTAAAAAGAGTAGCCCAAGAGTTGGCGGTGGGTGGTGATGACTAGCTGCCTTCCCTCTAGTCTTACATTGCTAAATTAGGGACGGCTAGCGCAGATAGCCCTCGTGTAGCTTTGCACAAAATTCATAAACAAACAAACTGAAGTAATTGGGCTTGGAATAGCGCATGCTAATAGTAAATAACTATTAAAGATCTTGTTCAATCGGTAAGTTTTGAGCAAAACGTAACTATCAACTAATATTAAAAGTTTTTTGTGTTTGTTTTTATAACATACATTCAATTAATTGTAATATTTTTGTAACTTAAAGATCCTTTAACGACCCATTTATTAAGCAGATTCTGTTTTCTTCCAAAAGAAGAATCACTTTACTAGTAATGTTTACTTTCATAAATTATGAGAAGGTATCAATTTTTATGAAGGAAAGACAAAAACCGCAAAGTTAAACATTTATCTACAGTAGTTGCCAGCTTATAAACTCTAAATAAGAGCAAATACAGAATATTTAGATCTTACAGTTGAACTTACTTATGTATTTTGACGTTCAACTGAAGGAGCGCAATATTAACTTATTTAAGCATTAAGAATATCTGGCAAAAGACAGC